GCCATCACTCCCAGATGTCCCCAAGGTCACCCACTGGCCACTTGGGAAAGGATGTGATGGTGCTACAGTGTGAAAGCACTAATTACAAGCACAACTGGGAGGACAACTTCCATCTCTCTTTCTTTTTTTTTTTTTTCCTAGCAGGAAGCAATTTCCCTTTAGCTGGCTGGCTGGTTCACCCATCACCGCTCCCAGCCACCAAACAGTGGATTTGCAACCTAATGAGAATTGGGGTTTCTTTCCACATTTTGAAGAAGGTCACAGCAGCTACCGAAGGCAAACAGTGGGATTTAATGGTTCTGAGAGGTTCGAAGTGGGTTAGTGGCAGAGTCCATGCCCTGGAGCTACCCACTGGTCAAAGAGAAAAGAGATTTCTAACAGGTTTCACAGAGGATCGTGGTGGGTTTAAACCAAAACCAAACTCCAACCAAACCTTGAAAGAAAACACACTGTCAGTCTACCAGATGGGTGAAGTGGGAGAGAGCAGAGGCTGAAGGCCCCAAACCACTGTCACCAGGAACAGAGAGCAATTTTTAAATTACCTCTTGGAGCAGATGAAATGCCCCCTGATCCAGCAAAGAGCACGCAGATTCCGAGCTGGATCTGGCTGGCACTTCAGCCTCTGTTACACAAGACCCTGTACAGGAAACGCCCAGAAGAACCTGCTGGTGGAGGAGGAATGGTGGGGAATGAATGACCAGAGGAGAAAGGAGACAGCCCCTGTCCTCACAGGAATCCTCACTCCAGTAAACACACAGCTTGCCAAGGAAACTCACAACAGGAACAGAAATGAGAGAAAATCCTTAACCTGAATTAGTATCTTCATAGCTAATAAAAAAATAGGTCATGATCTCACCCTTAGTGCCACTTTCCAATACTACACATACTTAGGGGGGTTTTGTTTTAAAACTTACTTTACTCAGTGTAATGAAAACAATGGCACAAATAAATACACGCTCGCTCTCCTTACACATCAGATGCTCACACGCACCGCCGGCTCCTCGCCCCCACAGACACCCTCGGGTGCAGACCCAGGACAGGAGGCTGCTGCTCCCCTTCCCAGGCTGTATTTGGTTTATGCTACAGTACTAATACTCTGAGTCAAACAAAAACAAAACATGAGACTTATCGGTAACACCTTATCGTTATTTCCATGTGCTAAATTAGTCACAGCTCAATTTCAGGTTTTTTTCTTTTTTTTTTTTTTTAAGTTTACACAAAAATAATCAGAAAACAGATTAAATCTTAAGATATTTTTAATAAGTGCTCAGTTAAGAATTGTGTGAGGACTTGGGGAGGACTGCAGACAGCACAGGGCGAGTTACACGACAGCACGAGGAAGTTCCTTCCACGGTCCTGCCTGGCTCTAGGCAATAGTCTATCCCAGAAATCCTGGGGAGCCGGAGCTACAGGAGCTGAGAGAGAGGAATTCCTAACTGCTTAGCGCTGAGCACACACCATGGAGCTCACGGAGACAGAAGGACAGACGTCTGAACAGAGGATGGTCAGAAATACAGCAGAGAAGGTGCTGCCGAGGGTGTTTCTGGGTGGGTCCCGCTGGCGAGGGGCCACGCACAGCGAGGCAAAGCCACAGGGATGAGCATCAGGGATAAACCAACCCAACCCATTGCTTGAACCATGTTTCTCTCAGCATTTCTTTTGCTAGTTAAATGAAAGACTGGACTAGGTCAAGATGAGAGTCCTCCAATATTCAGCAAGACTCAGACCATTCTAAAGGCGCAGGGTCCTCAGCACCATTTAGTGCTGCTCAGCTCCTGCATCCCCCCGGCCCCCAGTGCAGATCTGGGATAGGAGTACAGGACAGCACAGACCCCAGGGAAGCAAAACAGGGTGTTTTTGCAATTTTTTCTTTTTTTTTTTTTTTAATGGAACCTAGCCCTTAAGGCGACAAGTGACTACACAAGGCAAATAAATACACAGCAGAACCTTAAAGCCAGTAAAACAAACTGGAAACTTTGCTACTAGCCTTCAACTTTTTGAAAATAATAATGAAAAGGAAAAAGAACACTTCTTCCACCTTAATATTCCCAGTCCCCACCATCCAGTTTGTTCAACACTTTAAAGCTCAGGGCAAATAAATACACAGCAGAACCTTAAAGCCAGTAAAACAAACTGGAAACTTTGCTACTAGCCTTCAACTTTTTGAAAATAATAATGAAAAGGAAAAAGAACACTTCTTCCACCTTAATATTCCCAGTCCCCACCATCCAGTTTGTTCAACACTTTAAAGCTCAGGAATGCCCCAGCTCTTCGGCGGCGGAGCCGGAGGCAATTCCGACTTTTGGCAAGCAGTTGGGAGACTCAACAGAATTAAAATAGGGATGTCGGAGGACTAGATGTCGGGCACATCTGTAAACATGTTATACATCTCAAAGTTACACACACCTGTAAAGGTGGTACAGTTTTTATAGGTGAAACAGAACTATTTGCGACTGGCCAACCACAAGTTTCTGAACCTGGACTGATACAATACATGATGACTATATAGTATCACACTCAGTATTATACTATATAGTGGTTGATACATCAAATGGAGTAGGCAATCCATAGTCATACGTTTAGAACTAAGCGTGGCAGAAAGCTAAGCGTCTTACACAAGGTACAGAACTCAGTTTCATCGTCCCACCATGAACCCAAGTGTCTCATTCAGGAACAATCTTATTAAAAGTATAAAAACAATTAAAAAAACACATGCTACATAGTCCTAATTAACAAAACAAAACAAAACAAAAAAGCAGATCATAGAATCATCAAATATGCTGAGTTGGAAAAGACCCATCAGGACCAGTGATTCCAACTCCTGGCCCTGCACAGGACAGTCCAACAATCCCACCATGTGCCCGAGAGCGTTGTCCAGATGTTTCCTGAACTCAGACAGGTTTGGTGCTGTGATCACTTCCCTGGGGAGCCTGTTCCAGTCCTCAACCACCCTCTGGGTGAAAAACCTTCTCCTGACATCCATCCTAAACCTCCCCTAACTCAGCTTCAGGCCCTCTCCTTGGGTCCTGTCACTGGTAACATGAGTGAAGAGATCAGTACTTGCCCTTCTTCTGCCTCTATGAGGAGAGCAAAGACCACAGTGAGTTTTTCCCTGTGTCCTCCAGGCTGAACAAACCAAGTGATTGCAGCTGCTCCTCATATGGCTTCCCCTCCAGACCCTTCTCCATCCTCATGGCCTCCTTTGGATGCTCTCTAACAACTTAATATCTTTTTTATATTGTGGTGCCCAAAACTGTCCCCAGGACTCAAGGTGAGGTTGCCCCAGGGCAGAGCAGAGCGGGACAATCCCCTCCCTCACCGGGCCAGCAATGCTGGGCCTGATGCCCCCCAGGACACAGTTGGCCCTCCTGGCTGCCAGGGCACTGCTGACTCATGGCCAACTGGCCATGGACCAGCACCCCCAGGTCCCTTTCCACAGTGCTGCTTTCCAGCATCTCATTCCCCAGTCTAGACACACAGCCAGGGTTGCCCCGTCCCAGGTGCAGAATTCAGCACTTGCCCTTGCTAAACTCCATACAGTTGGTGACTGCCCATCTCTCTGATTTATCCAGGTCTCTCTGCAGGACCTCTGTGCCCTTGAGAGGTGACAGATCCTCCCACTTTAGTGTGGTCAGCAAACTCACTTAGTATCCCTTCGAGTCCTGTGTCCAGGTTGTTAATGAAGACTTTGGAGAGAGCTGGGCCAAGGATGGAGCCCTGTGGAACCCCACTAGTGACCAGACACCAGCCTGATGGATAAATCTAAGCACAAGGGGTATGCAAAAGTTTTGGGTTTATCTGCTTCCTGTAATGCCCCACAGGGTCCAGACTAATTTTAGGACACACCAACTGCTGCTGACCTTGATAACCAGGAGCCAGGATTCAGCCACAGAAACCCACAATGAGCATTGGGCATGTGTGGAGCTGGGGCTGGTCAGCAAACCCATTTCTGCTTTATTCACTTCTCACTCTTGCACTGGACCCTGTGACCGTTCCATCTTTTAAAAAAAACCCAGAAAAACTACCCAACCCCCAGATGATTTGGACACTCGACACAAGCTGCAATGGGACAGAGTGGGTTACACAGCTGGAGCCTGCACTCTGCTCAGCCTTCCCTACCACTGCTAGGAAGCCTTCCTTTCCCTGGGATTTTTTTTTTAATTATTTTTTAAATTATTATTTTCATTCCTAAGTCCTCCATTTTTTTGTAATAAAATATATTTTTATTAAGAGATAATTAGAAGCAGAGCCCGGAAATACACAGACTGCATTAAAATATAAAAGAGCATTTCCAAGGGGCAGGAAGCCCAGCCATTGGCGTTCTATGGACAAATTGAAAAGGATTCAAATTCCCATTTTTCTTTTTTTTTTTCTTTTTTTTTTTTTAAAATTTTTTCTTTTTTTTGTTATTTTTAATTTTTTTTTTTAAGAGAAAAAATAATTCAAGAAGGATGAAAGTTAGCAGAACTCAATTCCTCTTCAGTTTTCCATTGAAAATGGGAAAAAAATCCAGCACATTTAGTGTTAGGAGACAGACAGAGCAAATATGAAGCACCTACAGTTGAAAGCAGAAGATACTTTTTTTTTTTTTTTTTTTTTTTTTTTTCTTGCTCCCAGTAATACAATGGCATTAAACTGTGGGAACAGCAGGGGTTTTTGTTGTTGTTGTTGTTTTTTTTTCCCATATTAAATGCCTAAACAGATTGCTTATTTTTCCACGTTGTCTTTTAAAATGAAATAACTCTTCAGCTGCAATAGTCCAATGTGTAACAGGAGCCAGGTCAACTGTGTGACTTCACCATGCATCCTAGAACTGCAGTATTACCATCTTTCCCTCAGCAGAACGAGCTGTTTTAGACAATATCCCCCACATAGGATTGCTGCTTTACTCCTGGCAAAACATGCGGCTTATAATTCTCTGGAAAAAAAAAAGAAACTCTGCAAACTTCAAGGCGTTTCTCCAGCATTCAATGGAAAACAAACCAGAAAAAAAAAAAAAAAGAAACTAAATGGGGGAGGTGAAAGGGAAAGGGGAGATGAAGGATGGTGAATCATCCTGATTTCCCTGTGATTAGTGTGTCACTACAGTCACAGAACAAGAAACAGAAACCTTGTCAAGTGGAAATGCCTCTCCAGTGGGTTGCTGTTGCCCATGTAGACGACAGCAGGAACTTTGAAACCGGGCTTGTAATTGAGTCTGTATTCCTTAATCACTTGCATTCACTCTTTAAACAAAAACAAAACAAAACAAAAATGAAAAAAAAAAAAATCTATTCAGTACCGGAGATTAAATAATCACGTGTGTAGTCTCGTTGAAATAAATTTTCAGATTCCTTAAGAAGTCTAATTACTTTCAGTTGCCACTTTTAAATAACTATATATATATTTGTATATATTATCCTGTGATTCTAGTTATGGTTCCTCTGCTGCACTGAAGATTTAGAAGGAGCATAAAAGCCTTTTTGTCCCCCACGAACAGCACAAATGCTGCAGAAAGGTTATAACAGGCAGTCTTGTCTTGCTACCTTCATTGATCCGGGCGATCCATGGCTTCATCATAAGTGATTATCCTTTTGGGATCTGGAAAGAAAGCAGAATTCTAAGTTTTTGACAAGCTGAAGATAAACACAAGAGATCTGCATGGTACTTGTACCTTAACAGACCTTTTCCTTTGGACCCCCCTCCTGCCAACGCACCCCAAGCCTGGGCTGGCTCCCCCAGAGCAGCCACATGAGTCTCCATATGCAGCTCTTCCCACACAGAACCTCTTCTCAGGTGATTTGTGGGGATACACCAGAATAAAAGTTATTACTGGATGTGACACCCAGCACCAGAAATAGAAAGCAATTTTGTATACACATAGGGAAGAGTCATTAAATCTAATTCTGGTTTTATTGCTCCTGTAGAGTCTCTGCTTCTCTCTGAACACCCCACCATTATGGCACAGCTTACTGTCCTGAATTTTAGTGACATGAAACACGGATAAATCCAGACTACAAACTGCAGGCACTGAAGAATTGAACTCAGGCATCTCCAGACACGCAGACAATCCACTCTCATTCATCCCCCATCTCAACAGACAGAGCAGGACAGTGCAATTTGGTTTATTTATTCTTTCCAACACCCTTACCTTGCTTCTGCAAATTCCAAACCGCTTCCATTTCTGTGAAGGCAAAAGGAGAAAATCACTGTTATTATGCAGATTGATGTTACCATTAGAGACAACTTTAAACACACTTTAATCTCCCAAGTGTGGCACAACACGGCTGCGGCTGTGCCAAGGCTTTCAGACAGAGCCCACCCCATCCAGTCCAGCAGCACAGCTCCAGCCCATCCCGAATTTGACATGAATAATCCAACAACAAAAGGCAAAGGGATGGCTGTAACATGGTCTTAAGGGTCAGAGGGCCAAGCTGAGCATCAGAAATGTCACCACTGTTCCCCAGTCCTACAAATCACAATCTGACTTCAGGCTTTACTAATCCGACTCTAAGGCTGCTTCGCGTGTAACAGCCTCAACAAGGAGCCTGAAGAGATGATTTTTACGAGTTGATGTTTAGTGTGTGTGAAACCAGAACCGCAGGACATGGCAAGTTTCACATGGCTCACAGTGTGCATGTGCTGAAGCACACCAGGCAAGGACTGCTGTGCCAACATCACTGCAAAGCTGCTGCCAACACACCACCCGAGAGCAAGGTGTGATGCTCACACACCCGGTTGCCTGCTTGGCTTGAGGTTCTTTCCCCAGTTTACCTCTACAACATGTTTGCAGGCTGAATACAAATCCTCCCCAGTTCTCCCTGAAAAAGCACATGCTTTTGTTTACCTCAGAAATAAAAAAGTTAAACGCTCTTTTCATCCACACTGAGAAACAGAAGGCTCTTCCCTTTAAAATGTCCCACAAATCAAGTCACATCTTTAGAGAGTCATTCAAAATAACCTCATTTAGCCACTACAGAGGTGGAATTTTGTGAGCTAGAATATTTATGAAGGCACACTAACTGTACCCTGCGTCCAAATTTAAGAGACAAAATTTTTAATTTTAGTAGGAACACGACCTGCAAGAACCACCTTTTAAGTCTCCCTTCTGCCACAAAGGAGGGTGACAGGACCTTGGTGGGGGTTGGAACAGGGAATAGCACGGGATTATCAGGCTACACGGGATGTGCAGTAAAGCACAAAACAAGGCAATAAGTGAACTATCCGGCATGGGAAAGGAAGAAGAAAAAGCCCTACAAAACTCATGGCCTCAGCACGATGTGTGCCAAGTGTCACCTCCATCAATCGCGTCCCTTTTCCAACCCTTCATCTGTCCTTTGTCCTCTACAATCTCCAGCTCCCCAGGGCAGGAAATTGCATGCAAATAAATATTGCCAGCCCTCCCTGCACAATTAAGCCTTTTGTAAGGAAGGCCCCGGCAAAATTTTACGAGGTCTGTTATTTTTGCGTCACGACAACAACGGCAACATTTTGCACTTTCATGGGGGGGGGAACCTTAAGTGCTTTGGGAATAGTAGCCAGCCTCTAACACCCCCAGGGATATAAGCAGCCTGGTGAGGGACTGCCTCCCTCATCTGCCAGATGCAGATTCCCCCGAAGTAAAATGAACCAGCTACTAAAATTACCTCCCACAGAGCGAGTTTTCCATTCAGCGCAGTTAGATGCATCATTTCCTAACAGCTAAAGAGCATCTCCTATTTTAACAGCTTTCCCCAAAGGCTAGGGACAGAAAACTACTCTCGAGTTGTTGGTTGCTCCACATTAGAGCAATGTTTCAGCATCAAATACAAGGCAGAGCTGAAGCATTGCCCCACTACTGTATCCCACGTATAGACCACACCTTCTTGTGCTGTTCATTTGGTTGTAACTTCCCTGGACACCACAAGGATGTGAACTGCTTGTATTAAGACATGTCTGACAACAAGACAGATGGTGAGATACTATTAAGGACACACCAAAAAAACTTTTAAGTTGTCAAAATTCTGTTTAGATAAAAAAAACTAACAAACCAACAACTAAACTCTCCAACCTTTTCAGATTCAAATTTTCCTTCTCCTTCTTCAGAAAGAGAGGGTGTTGTAGAGTGTCCTGTAAATCCCAGATAGCTGGACACACTGACTGGCAGATACCTGGTTCAACCTCATAAAGCTACAAAATCAAAGACCATGGGGAAACAATGCAGTAATAGCTCTTTTTGAATATCATCTGCCATCGGCAGAGCAAGGTGCTCCCTTTCACATGTCCAGCAGCACAGGGACACAGGATAGTACAGGCTGACCAACTGAAACAACTTCACAGGGGAAAAAAAAAAATAAGACTTAGGTTAACAGCAATGCCAAACTAGGGAAAAAGTGTGTTTTCCTCCCAGTTCCAGGCTGTGGTCACCTACAACTGACACAAGGTGCTGTGACAAGTGCCATGGCCACTGTCACAGAGGTTGGACTGAGCTGGGGGACAGGCAGCTCAGCAGAGCCACCACTGCCCAATGCCTGGGTCCAGCCAAGCAGAGCAGTGAGCTCAAGGATGCAGAGTGGAATAAAAGACAATACCCATGAGCTGGGCATGCAAGAGGCTCTAAGCCTGCTTTCAGTCCTCCTTCCTTGGGCTCAAAGAGCTCTTTTCTTGAGCCTGTCTTCCCTGGATAAAGCTTTCAGAGCAGGTTTAAGCAAAGGACTCTTACAGTTGCTCACCCTACATGGGAAAAGGCACCACCAGCCCAAGCCCACCTCTCTCCGATACTGACCCCAAACCTTCATTGCTGCCCTTTCCAAAGACCTGACCAACAGACAAGAGCCACCGTTCCCAAAACAGGACAGGCAGCCAGGGAAATGGCACACTTTCCTCTCAGTGGACTCCAACCCAGCTGGATAAAATGCCACCAATAAACCCTTGCACAACCCAGCATCAAAGCCAGCCCTGCTCCAAGCCAGGGGCAGAACTAGGTCACCTCCTACACCCCTTCCAACCTCTGGTTTTCCAGGATTTTTTACAATTAGCTGGCCTCTCCACAGCCCTCTGGCTCAGGTTTCCTGAGGAACTCTCCGGGGCAGACAGCCCCAGTCACAGACAGCCCCAGTCACATCCACCTAAACAACTTTTTCTGGGGACTATCACTGAAACAAAGGGGTGGTGGAGGAAGGCTTTGATGTCAGGAACAGACTAAGGCACACTCCAGTGAATTGTGCTGGGATTCCTCATAGGTCAATAAACTTTATAGCAGGACTGGTACATAATCTTGGAAGGGAAAGAAGTGATAACTTGTTAAGACAGGCACTTTTACACACTTTTTCCTTGCTAGAGAGGCAGCCCCTGCAAACAGAAGTGTCTGCACAATGCCATGGAACTAGTTCTTTGTTCTTATAAATCTCACTATTGTCTCTAAAATAAAACACTAAAAACATAACAAAAAGGAACCATTCTCATCTGATTTTTCTGCTTCTACCTGCAGGACATAATGATTAAGTTTAGGGGATTGCTCAAGAAATGAAGCAAAGATTAAAAATTCCATGCTGTGGAGACTCATGGCTGTACTGAATACACTGTACTCATCCTGACAACTGGAAAGAGCAGAGACTCAAAGGAGAATTAAATCAGCTTTTGCCCCACAGCTCAGGCCCTACAAGGCCATAAGCAACAGAGTGAGACCCTTCCCACCAATGGGGATGGAAAACCAAGGCTCTTCCCACCCCCCCGATGTAAAGGATGAAAATTGCTGAATTCACAGCTCTGCTATTTCTTCTGACCCAGTTCACCATTCCAGTGAACGCCACTCCTGGCTGGCCCACGCTGCCTTGCTCTATTTTCCACGCTGCTCTTCTGCTTCTTCACGCGAGCAGAGATGCTGAGAAGGAACAAAGCAGCAGCACAGGCAGAAACTCGGGGGCAAGTCAGAAGAGGGAAACACTGCAGCTTCCTCTCCTCCACCCATGTGGTCTTTGCTGCTGTGCAGCTGAGCTGGAGGCCTCAATTATTTGCTTTTTAGCTCAGGACAAGCAAATTATTGAGCTTCCCACCACAAAGCTTGCCATCTAGAGCCCAGTGTCAGTGACAGCCTGGCCTGGAAGACTGCAACTGCCCAAACGTGACAGAATTCTGCACAGTGTTGACAATTATTCCGATACGAACCCTTTCTTCCAGCTGTCTCTAAAAGAAGGAATAAAGCAGTAAGAAGATGCTGGTTTCAACAGAAGTAAAGCTGAGATACAACCAGCCTCCTTTTCTGAAGGACCAAAAAAATCTGCAGGGACCAGTTTTACCTCAAAAAGATAAGGATTTTGGCAATGCCACACCAAGGCAGAAGTTCAACTCTAACCTAGATAGGGACAATGACCGCAAGCCAGAGCATCACTTCTTCCTGGTCCTTCTAGTCTGCCATACTAAGATACTGTCTCTGTCTCCAAGCACATCCACAGCAGACCCACAAGTGCTCAGCTAAATCAGATCTCCCTTGGCAAATCAGATTTGTCACCCGCGAGTGTTTCAAGGCACCGTCACAAACCCCGAGCGGCACGGGCTGTCAGTGAAGGCAGCCACATTGAGGGATCGTGTTTTACACTCAAGCAGATCAGATGATCAAGGGAGTCTTTCTGCCCTTTAAACAGAGGGGAAAAAAAAAAAAAGGAAGAAGCAGGGGCACAAGGAAACCAACAGCAAAAGCTTCCAAGAGAACAAGAAGGTGCACCAGCAGCCTTGCCTGAACGTTCCCAGTGCTTTGACTTCTGGGGAAAAAGCAATCCAGATACATGCAAAGGAGCACAGGAATCCTCCACTAAGACCTCACTGTGCTCTGCAATCACCAAGTCTCACACCCCAGTGGAGCCTCGCCAGCACCCAGGGCGCTGTGGTGGGCTAAATGGGATCCCTGCACCAGAGCCAGTCCTCCCTGTGTGCTACCTCCTCCATCCATCTTTCTACAAGGAAGCTGTGAAGCAATTACAATCCATAATGTCCCATGCAGTCACTGGGCAAATCACACACAGGAAAGCCTGGTTTGCTGGAACAAAGCTACCGAGTAAGCTGGAGACTTTCCCATAGCCTATTTACAGTCCAGGATGAGGATCCACACAACGTGGTCACAGTTACAGGCACAAACAGTGCACATTTGTGACAGACAGGTCAAAGCACACTACCACTCACATTACAGCCCATCCCTCACTGCAGCACCCAGAGCTTCATCCTTGCACTGAACTACTGCACTTGGAGGAGCTCAGGGCAGGAAGACACCGGGACCCCACCAGTGCTCCACATTCACTCCTGTCCTTGCCCCATGATCGTTTTTCTTTGTGTTCATAACCCCAGGGGGAGGGCAGATGTGAAGATCAAACTACCGAGACTTTGCTCAAAAGCAAACAGATCAATCCAAGAGGGAGAAGTTCACCCTCCTCTCGAAATCAAAACCAAACAACACGAGGACCCAACTGCCCGGGATGCCCTAACACTGACCCGGGCAAACCCACACACTCTCCCAAGCAGGGAGGAGGGGGAGGCAGTTTGCAAAAAGCAACTGAGCGAAATCATTCCTTTCCTACTGCAGGGGAACTGGTTGGCTTGGAGCAGGACCTCAGGAAAACAGCCCAAGATAAACGGAGCAAACGGTGTGGGAATTAACCACCGCACTGCTGTCCTGCAAACACACCCTGGCAGCTCTGGGTTGGAGGCATTTCCCAGCACACTCTGGGCTCTGGCTGTAGGACCACGGCCATGAAGAGGAGACAGGAGGCCCCGTTCCTCCAAATACTCCTTAACCCAACTCACCCCAAAAGTTAATGAAATGCAACACCCAACATCATCAGAAGTACTAAGAACTGGATTGATCTCCTGCTGTGTGAACCAGCAATCACGTTTGGGGACTAAATAGCAGAAAGACAAGCCTAAGCTCTTTGGAGCACCCCATCACTGCACACCACAACACATTCATCGTCTTTTACCCCCAAAGAAATCAGCAGAGAGGAGTGGTGGGGCAGGAACCCCAGGTTGTTCCTTCTGGATGCTCAAAGCAAGATGCTTCAGAGCAACAGCTCTAGAAGAAGAGCTTGGCATGCAGAAGAAGAGCAGAGAACAGTACTTCACGGGTGCTTCAGGTGGTCATTCCTGCCATTAAATGTAATTAACTCCTGTGTTTAGAAGAGCTAAACACAGCCAGGCTTTGAAGTTAACACCTCCTTGAGAGGACATGGGAAGGGAGTGTTCTTTATTTTCCTGTTGTTGCTATTGTTTTACTGGGATCTGTCTTCCACAGCAAGTGAGAAAGGGAGAGCTGATCAGCCTTGCTGGCTGTGAACAGTTGCTTTTCTACAAGTTCAGGCTGACAAAAACAAAGGGACAAACCGAAGCAAAGGAAATATTTGCAAACTTAAGATCACCTAGGATTTCTCTCCATGCTATGCTTCCTGGTACCCCTGTTTTCTGATAGGAAATTGGGATTTAAGCTGCAGGCAGACATAAGAATGAAAACAGAAAGCCTGCTTTAATGCTGGCATAGACTGAGATGAAAGGAGAGGACCCAGATAAAATCAATTGATGAATGCTGTTCTCAAGAATACTAGAGCTTGAAATGTTAACATTATAAGAGGGAGATGACCTGAAAAAAATATTTGGAGTTCTTATTTTTAAATGATTGGGCTTGTTATTACTAAAGGCAGGCATCTGAGTTTGCAAACTGGTAATTTAAGAACTTTGCAGTGGGTCAAAACACAGCAAATTTGCCAAAGCCAGCCAAATACCAACCCTCTGCAGAGGGGAGGAAGACATTATCCACATTTGTATGTGAATCAGTAAACAAAAAATGGATTATCACCTTGTTCCCTTCAGAGGGAGAGGGAAGGGGGTCAAATAAAAAAAGGAATTGCCCCTGTGTTGGTCAGGGGTGGGTAAGTAATGCCATCCCAAAAGGGAACACACAACCAGGCTCCTGTCAACACTGAGCCAGCACCAGAAGCCAAGAACTGCCACAAGACCTCAGAGCTTCTGAGGCTGAGGCTAAAGTAGAAAGCAAGCCATCCCACAGGCTTCCCTCTCCTCGTTCCCATTTTAAAGTGTCTGTATCATGTTTGAGTCATTTCAATCTCAAAAAAAAAACAGGGAGGAAAAAATAGGAGCTGGACTACAAAGGACTCCGTGAAAGCAATAAAATCACCTGAAAGATGTGGCTTACAAAGACAAGGAGAGAATTCAATCTGCAGCTTATAAAGGAGCTGATAAGAAAAGATTGGTCTTGCTGTTGCTGTAATATTCAAGAAGGGCAGGGGAAAAGTGTGTGTGGGTCACGCTTAGAAAAATAATCACACCTAGGGCTGTAGGGATAATTTTTTCTTCCTTCAAAGCCATGATTTCATGGTCTGATCTGCCCAGGGGAGAAGCTGCAACACTTTGGTGGTAGAGGTGTGAGCACAGACTATGAAGCTTTTTCAGTGACAGAATATCACCTGGTAAAGCTGGAACAGAGCGGGTGAACCTACACATTTAACTCCTTCCAATGCCGAGAGGCTTAGGAGGGCCTGCTAAGTATCATCCCTATCAACATCACTCATGCTTGTCCACGGGAACAGGGAAACAAATACCCCTTAACATTAATTAAACAATGGTTTGCGTAGCTTCCCAAATCGTTGCAGCCATGAGAGATATGCAAGCAAAAAAGAAAAGCTCATTTTTAAAGCAATCAGAATTGCTGGAAGGAATATATCACGTTAGAATATTGCACTTACAAAAACAAAAGTAAAAAAAAAAAAAGAAAAGAAAAGAAAAGAATGCCCTTAGGGAGCAAGTTAAGTCATTACCTTTAGTGTGATATAGAATAGCAGCCCTCAGGTCAAAAGAACCCCAGCTATCTTTCCTTTCTAGGCCTCTCTGGTACCTCTGTTCTTTGGCGGAGGATAGCAAATTGTTCGTGGGAGAGGCCAGAGGATTCTCTACTTCATAGTCTTTTGAAAGAAACACTAAAGCACCTTGGCTACCGGTGTCTGCCTTTTGTAGGTCACCTGTGTGATGCGACTCCAAAGCTAAGACACCACCCTCAACAGCAGTCCCAGGCTTAAGAATAGCACTAAGAATTTGAGGGCTAGTCCGTTTATCCAGCTCATAAGCCTTAGGAAACACAGGTTGTTCAGTTCCTGAGGGAGTGATTTCAGCACACTGCGAAACCAAAGTGGCAGGATATTCCCCTTGAAATGTCACTTCCATTAACTGATTATCGGCAGATTTCCCCACAACAGTTTCGGGTCCAGCACTGGGCTCGTTTATGAAAGACAAGCCCCACTGATTCTGGAAGATATCGCCCAGGTTCTGCTGATTCGTCTGCGAAGGGAAATCGACTTGCGCTGCGCCCAGGAGCACAGTTTGCATATTTGAAGGGTAGATAAAAAGGCCAGATTTCTTTTGTTCTAGAGCTGTCGAAGTTGTACTCATGTCCTGGGCTACTGACTCGGAGGAGGTCGATGGTACAGTACTAGCAGCAGTTGAGAGCAGTGGCTGGGTCCCTGGGGAATACACACTTCCATCGGTGCCCGCGAGGATCGGCCCATTGGAGAAGCTGGCAGAGGTGACAGATTTCATAGCAGACATGGGGACCTGGGACAGTCGACTCGATGTTTGGGCCTGAGCTTCCCCGGCAGATGACGAAGATGACAAAGACGACGAAGTGGATGGGGTTTGAGCTGCTTTGTTGAGGTTTTCTTTAACTTTACTTGCATAACTAATTTTGGGAACAATTTTAGCACTGCTATTGTCCACTGGAAAAACTGGGGGTGGTTTAAACAAGGTCCATGAGTCCTCTTTAGACGTAGCCGACGATGCGTGCTTCCCTTTGGGCCGGTCATCAAACTTCTTGCTGCTAATCCCAGGTTTGGCATCAGAGTTTTTCCGGGGTACATCCCCGAGCCCAGGCTTTCCCCGGCCTGCTCCACCAGCCCCAGCCTCGTACTTCCAAACAGGCTTAGTATTTTCAATTCGGTTCCCCTTTTGTTCACTATAATCAGGCTTGAAACTCTCAAGTTCCTGTTTCAAGGTTGGTGCACTGACCTCCTGCTGCATTATTTTGTCCTGTACTAGATTCAGGTTCTCACAACCCTTGGCACTGTTGCGCCTGCCTTTCCGTTTTTTAGGCGTAGTATATCCACTCTCGGAGCCACTGCCATCGTTATCGGCCCCTTTGCCTACGTAGCCATTGGTGATATAGCTGGAATTATTGGTTACCACGCCGTTTGGAATAGACACTCCCTCTGGCTTGTCCGAGGACTGGCCTTCTCTAAGTTTATTTTCATAGGACTTCTCATTCTTTTTGTCCATGCTATTTTTCTGAACGAAGTTCTTGGTTTTGATTCCAGCTTTCCCCAAAGCACTGGCCTTCACAGTCTGCTTTGGGGGGACATTAGAATCTACAAGCTGCTGGCTGCCATTGGGTACCCTGGATCCTGGGGCGGTGGCTTCATCAGAGCACAGGCCCTTCAGTGACACTTCTCTTTCTCCTGCGTTACCATTTAGCTCTCCGTAGCCTAGAAAAAAGCCAGAATGTGAAATGTTAAACTCTTTGTTGCACAAAGCTGTAATCAGTCCCAAACATATCGTTTCCTCAAGCAGACATTTTAAAATAGGAAAACATCCAGTCTCTGATGTACATCAGCATGAACTTATTTGCTGGAACCCACGGCAAGAAGGGTTAAGCAGAAAGTACCAGCAGTGACTGACTCACATAACTGGGTGACATATAGATACTATAACAAGGCAAAAGAAAATATAGATACTATTTCAGGAAAATATACTGTACTAAAGATCTCTGGCAGGCTAGAGAGCTATTTCATCAGCTACTATTTCCAGGTCACAGAAAGGAAAAAAAATTAATTCCCAGGATGCTTTGAGACAGAAGGATCCACTGACAAGGTCTGTGGAGGTTCAGAATCCACACTGTGAACAAGGGACAACTCCTGCCATCTCCATCAACTCTTGGGCCTGCAACACAAGCAGCCCTCATTCCCACCCTTGTCCCAAATGCCATCTCAGTAAATGGGGGGGTGGGGAGAAAAATAAAAAAGCAGGTTTTCAAAAGGGACATGTGCGAGTCCACTTGAAAGGTGGAGGGAGAGTGACTGCATCTTCTCTCTGCGTTTCAAGATAGCAACCAACACCTCCCTACACGTGCTCTTCAGCATTGAAAAGGTGATAAAACTGGGAGGAAATGCATCCCTGCAAGAGCCTTTCTGCTGCTACCAGCAACTGGTCTCTTGTCCACCGAAAAACTGGTATTTCAGAGTCCCTGGGAGAGATAGTATGAGCTTGAGACCCAAGAAATAAAGTATTTGCTGAGGGCTCCAACTGATCATACCACGAGATTATACTGCACACTCAGCTTTCCTTTTTCCTTCTGAAGGTCAGTTTTAGGCCTCATGGTTGTGAAATGAATCTTGGAAGTGCAATTCAAGCAAAGCTGGAAGCTCAGGACAGTCCACACTGAGCCACCTCATCTTCCTCTTTGTTTTTTTCCTATTTAAAAATCCCTGGCCAGAGGCCTGTTGCTTTCAAGGACCCTGGTTACAACGCCCCAAGAGAATCCCTGGAGCCCCGCTGGGAGACAGGGAGAGCACACTGTGCCCAGCTCAACAAATCCAGTCCAGCTGTGGACTGAGCAGAGGGATCCCTCCTACTGCACCCGCTCCTCCTCTGACTCATCTGTCCTCCTTCCCGAGGCTGGAAAGCCTTACATCTCCTGCAACCACTGACCCACCTAAGACTCCATCTGCAGCCACGGTGGCACAGAGTCAGCACAGCGAGGGAGTCCCTCAACAACAGGAGCAGGCAAGACTCCAGCTTGAAAAAGAATGTTTTTGTTGTTGCTGATGTTGTTGAAATTAACTGCTATAACTGAAAATCATTGTTACTCTCACATCCTGGAGCCTCAGATGTCTGGCAGATGTAACTGCTCAAGCTCTCTGCAAGCCTGGAACACAAGAATCCTTGTAGGAATCTTTACAGAAATTCCACAACTAAGTTTGCCAAGGGGGATCAAAAAGGATTTTACTACGTGCAAGTATCTGCAGCCACCACAACTTGCACTATAACTTTCTAATATGCTGTTAAAAAAAATTAACCATAAATACTTCATCTCAGAGAGAACTGGTAGGGTGGGATTCTCAGCTGAGCCAACAACTAAAAATTAAGCATTTCAGAATAACATGGAGAGGAAGCCTTCTCAAGAGCAGCGTGTTACAGCTGACCTTGTATGACTCAAGACTTCTGACACCACTTGTTAATGAAACAAAACAATAAGAGTGGTCATAAGACCATTGTAGATGAGGAGCAAAAGAATAAAATGAAGAACAAAATCCATTTCAGTAAGTCAGTGTGTCAGCAGTTTCTAGTTCCAATTCTCAAGTATTCACAGCTCAGCTGCCTGAGTTTTCTCCAAATCAACATTTGGCACAGCTGGCCCTTGCCTGGACACTGAGGTGCAGCAACCAAAATTTAGGGGAGAGGAAAAAAAACCCCACAGGACAGTAAGACGAACAGGTGAAGAGAATTCAGCAACCTCACAAACCATTTCGGAGCCGGGAAGGGAGGGGTGCCAGCCCAAGCGCATATTAAAACCCTGGGCACGCTGCAAACAGTGAAATGACTACTCAACTTATTTTTGCTCAGTAACTTATTTTAGCGTGTGCCGGATCAGGTCCCTCCCCGTCTGCCCGGGCAGCACACGGGGCACCGCCGACCCCGCTCCGCTGCTGCCAGGCCCCCTCCCACC